CCATCACGCGCACCCGCCACATTTTGTCTGTCTGTTGATCTATCAACAGCTCTTGGGTTGTTTCCACTTTAGGCTCTTGTAGATGATGCTACTGTGAACATGGATGTGTGAATATCTGCTTGCATCCCTACTTTCAGTTCTTTTGGGTATGGTTGAATTTTACACACATTGAGAGAGGTTATAGAGAGTATGTTGGCATTTATTTTCATATTGTTAAAATCTTACAACATAAGTGCTCCTTTTCTCCCTTATTGATGCTCTTTAAAAGCAAGGACTGCCTTCTAGGTTCGGCACTTAGCCAGGTACCCGGGATACATATATAAATATTTGACCAGTTCCTAGTCCAGAGCCATCATACACTATGGTAGGTGGTCCCCAGAATGGTAGGTTGTGCCATCTTTTTTTTTTTTTCCTGGCTCATTAATTAACACGTGTTCAGAGAATAGAAAACAACTCTTAAATTATCCTTAGCAAAACATAATTAGGGAAGTACATTTTCTAATGCAAAGAGTCACGATATAGATAAAACCCAATTCAACAAACATTTGTTGAGAACTTGCTATGTACGAGATGCATTTTAAAATGTGTAATTTTAGAGCAATTTCAAAACTCAGTTGGAATACCTTATTGGTATTGAACTTTAAATATAATAGGTACATAGCATATATTTAAATATAATAGGTACAGACCTTTTAACATGAATCTCTAGTCTTTTTTATTGTGAGAGAATCATAACAACATTCAAGATAGTTTGGAAAAAAGAGAATTAATAATACCCAGAGTCCACTCTGATATAAGCTCTATTTTCATTTTATAGAGTGAGTTTGAGGCTTGAACTTCTAATTTATTTTGAAAATAAAACCCTTAATGCCTCTGGTGGCAGTTATTTTAAAATTTATTTTTTAAAACCCCAGAAGTAAAGTGGAAACCAGTGATCTCAAATTTGGAGGCTCCTTTTTGGGATGTATCCATAAAAGTTTAATGGATGAATAGAGCCACTCCCTTTTCTTAGTGGAGCAGCAGAAATGACATGTGTCTTCTCTTGGGGATAGCCCAGTGGACTGCTGACACCTGTTACAGGGGCTGGGTGTTTAGGAACCTGTCCCTCCTCCAGTTTTTTCTGTGTTCAGGGATCCAAGGGAATGTTTTCATGACTCTGCCAGGGGAAAATTACAATTTAAGATTCCCAGAGGAGGTGAGACCTAGATTTAGACCACGAGTGAGCATCAGGACAGACCGAGGGGTGATGAGGCTGGACGTGTTAGATGGAGTTAGTGAAGACAGGTGACCGTGGTTAGGGACCAACACCCACGAAAAATGGGATTTTCCACATGACAAGAAGGTGAATTTGTGGAGGAGGTGTGTTCTGGGGGCACAGGCAGACAGAGGGGCCTAGGAAGGAGTGGATGCTGTTCATGGGCTCCTTAACCGGCCAGCCTGAGGATCCGTCTTACTGGAGAGGCAGGTAAGGGTCTGGTGGAAGCAGCTAGAATTTAGTCCCGTGAAAGTGTTTTGTAAGCTGTAGGTGATGTCCCTGTTAGCTGCTGCCACTTCTGGGAGGGTCTTTGAGGCTGGGAGTGGGTTGTTGAAAGATGGTTGTTTTTTAGGCTGATGCATCTCAGGGTTTGATGAGTTGGGAGTGGACTGGCTGGAGGCTCAAGTTCTTTTAGGAGAGGATGTCATCTCTCTGTGAGGTAGTAAGTGGCTAGTCTGGGGTGGGGCAGCAGGAGCGGAAAGGCAGACAAGTATAAGAGGCAGAGGCTCTGAAGGAAAGATGGCTAGGATTTGCTGCCCAGGAGGCAGAAGTCAGGCGGGAACTCGTTTGGGAAATGATGGAAGCATTTATATTCATAGGAAGTGAGTAAGTCAGGACTGACTGGAGGGGTGATAAGAGGTTCTATTTTTAGAATAATTGTGTCTAACATTTATTATGTCTTTTCTGTGGGCCCCCAAACAGTTCTGAGTACAAACAGCTTTGTACAGTAGCCTTATGAAATAGGTTCAACTACCGTCCCCGCTTTTCAAATGGGGAGACCAAAACAGAGTTGATTGGTAACTTACCTAAGGATCATACACTTAACTTCTGGCAGAGCCGGGATGCAAATCTAGAGTCTTAACTCCAGAGCCAATTCTGATTCCCATAAAAACTCTGTGAGATGAGGGTATTTTTTTTTTTTTTTTTTTTAATCATTTTCCAAATCTGGAAGCCGGGCACAGAGAAGTTGAGTGGCGTGCCTTAGGTCACACTTCCATTGGCGTGGTAGGTCTCCGGAAGTCAGCAATATTTATTTGGCTGGATTGTCCTGTCTACAGATGCACTCCTGAGAAAGCTAAACTGATTGAAGTATATTGCAGTATAAATTCTTTAAGAATTTTTGAACTAAACTCTCTTTCAACGTCACTGCTCTCCTCTTAGAACTACTCCCTTTTTTAAAAGGGGATCAATAATTGAGATATTGGTGTCTCCATTTATTGTTGTGCCCAGTTTCATTATTTAACACTCTGTAAGACTTTAACAATCCCAGGCACTTTGTTTCCATATTCTGGCCCCTCCATTTCGATGCCGAGACTAGCAGGTACGGATGGTCTTGTCTGTAACACTTCTTACGTTGTTGGTGCTTAAGAACGTTTGATGATTGTCATTGACCTTGTTAACCTTCTGCGACTTGAGGTTTGCTGAGGGTCTTCATCTGGGGTATACTTGGCATGACCTTGTGGAGGTGCGATGGAAGCCATGGTCAAAAGGTGCCCAGAAGCGATACTTGTCTGGGTAACAATTTGGAATTGAGACCGTCATCTCTGTGCATCTGCAGGGGACAGTTTCCCTGCCTCTTTAGAGCATCCTTGGTCTGTCCCTCTTCCCAGACTCTCTTCTGTCTTCACGTGTCAGCAGGTCTCCTGTAATTTTTAACCTGGTTTGACTGTAGCTCTATTACTCTGCCTTCTTGGGCCATATAGCTCCTCAGGGAGAGGTCTACACATAGAGCCTTTAACCTCGGCGCATACAGAAATTTCCACTCACCTGAAATTGTACTCTTGGGTTTCCTGCCGTCTTTTTCTCACCAATACGGTCGGTTCCTTCCCTTGATCACTTTGGTTCATTCCCTTGATTCTGCTCAGCATCTGCCCTGGGACCCACCACTCTCTCTTTGAAACTTTCTTCCCTCTTTAGTGTCCCATTCCCTTCCTTTCCGGCAGTGGTTTTTTGGTTGCTTGTTCATTTTTGTTTGATTTTTAAATCTCAAACCTATGCCCTCTTAGCTGGAAGAACTCTCCAAGATTGGTACTCTCTGTGTTCTTCATTTTTCGACAAGCCCTTACTCTTGACTGTCTGATCCTGTCTTTTAACTTCACGCGTTTCTGCTCTTCCTCCCCCAACCTGCAATGCAGGTCATAAGGTGAGAAGTGCGTCCACTGGCCAGGTAGACCCTGGGAGTGGGGCACTTGCCCCTCCTGTTCCCGTCCGTTTCTGATCATGTCTCCCCACCCCCAGTCCTGCCAAACTTGTGGAGAGCTTCCTGGCGTGTCTTATTTGCTGCCTTTGCCTTTTACTCCTCCTTCAGAACTCAGGTCACTTCTTGTCTCCCACCTTGCGTGTGTGGGGAGGGATTAGATACCCCATCTCCCCCATGACCCTGCAGAAGTGATTGAAAGCCCCCCACCCCCCACCGAGGGGGAGTTCTGTTACCCTGTTGCTCTAGCCCACCTTACCCAGGGACCCTTTCTTCCCACTCGCTCACCCAGGTCATATGTGTGTCAGTCTTTGTAGTTTTAATTACACTATAACCTTTAATGTGTTTTTCCTTTAATAGAATAATGCATTTTTTGTCTCAGATCCTTACCAAATATCTCATTCCTCCTGCCTACCGGAGGACCAGAACTCTTCACAGATTTCCTGGAATCTAGAAGATCTTCAGTATCTTACTGCACGTGCCACTTTTCTGCTGAAAAACGTATAGTGAAAAAAAAAAACACAAGAAAAAAACCCAAAACGTATAGTGTCTCTGCATGGTCTAGGTGGTCCCTGTGGCACGTGTCTATCTTCTCTTTCACCTTTCCCATATGGTAAAGGCCCAGCCCACCTCCTTCTTCTTCAGCTTAAAGCTAGAACTGTAGCTGTATTTCATTTACTCTGACACACGAGCAGTGTGTTCTTTAAACTCTGGAGTGTGTGTACCAACCCTGTGTTGCACTTACATGGGATTTTTTCCAGCACCTACCTTGAGGCTCTTGCAGATCATAATTAACGAACTGTTATTTGCGGTCATGCAACAGGTAGATGAACGAATGAATGAATTGGCTGCCGTGAATTTTCTAAGGTTCAAGTTCCGCATTCAGAGTCTAGGAAACCTATCGAGGCATTGGTTTGATTAGGCAGCAACACAGCGTATGTCATGAAACCGCTCACGGTCTGATCTTTAAAATGGGATTTTCATTTTCTGCCTTCTTGTTTGAAACTCCAAAATAGTTCTGCTTTTGATGAACATCACCATATAAGGAGAATTGCATACAAATAACTGAATTCACAGCCATGCTATGTCAAGGTCATGTACATTTTGCCAGAAGAGTAACAGGCCAATAGTTTTTTTTGTTTTGTTTTGCCTTTTTTTTTTTTTTTTTTTAAATAATAATGTGAGGTTTTGTTTTTGTTATTTCTAAGCTGGGTGTCAGCATGTCAGTACCATGGCGATGGCCCATATTCAGAGTAGAAACTTGACCCAGCTGTGTGTTTAACCCAGAGAAGGCCATGGCATCCCACAAGTATGGCTCGCATACCAAGTGTGACCCTCCGGATCAGTGGAGAGTTGCAGAAAATAATATTCTAGATGAACTTAAGAAACTTGAAACAGAACTCTTTCTAACTATAAATAGCAGGGCAGCTTTGTCCTATTTTTATTGTAGAGCAAGCACACAGAAGATGGAAATCAATATTGGAAGAAATGCTTTATTTCGCCAAGGAAAAAGATCATACTCAACACGATTCTTATTTCTCTTGGCAGGCTCTTCTCAACCATCTGTGAGTCCAGGGGAACTGTCTCTACCATCCATCCATCCAGCAAAATCAGAGTTAATAGTCAGTGCTGGCGACGAGATTAGGCTGTCATGCACCGATCCAGGATTTGTCAAATGGACTTTTGAGACCCTGGGTCAGTTGAAGGAGGACACGCACAAGGAATGGGTCACAGAGAAAGCGGAGGCCGCCAACACGGGCAATTACACGTGCACCAACAGAGACGGCTTAAGCAGGTCCATTTATGTGTTTGTTAGAGGTAAATGTGTGGCTTTCTTTCATGCTATGCTTTAGAGAACTTAATATCCTGTTCTTAATTATGGATGACATATAGATGGCTGAGCCAGAGAGAAAATATTACTGGCTGGGTCTAGGGCGCCTGAAACAAATTTTTCTTTGTTAGTTCCCCCCATCTTTTGATACATCATGGCTGTGGGTATGACTCCAGCTGAAGGTCTGCAAGGCTGTGATACTCTTCCTAATGAGATTACAATATGGTTAGCCCATTTGTCCTGGCACTGCGAGTAAACCCTGAGAATAAATTAGGCCCTTTGGGAGAGCTGCATTTTAATGCCTTGAGATCCTAGATACTCCCACTTAGTAAAAACACTTCAGGGAACTAAAGGCCTCTGACAGCCTAAACAGACCAACACTTCAAAAGAACTGACCCACTTTGAGGGAGCAAATTCCAGAAAAATAAGCCAGTCAGCTAAGCACCCCATGTCCCCTCTTAGGTTCTTAGTGGTTGTCATTTGATTCTTTTTTTTTTTTTTTTTTAAACTGTGACCTCTTAGAAACAGAAGAAAAATACGATCGTTGGATTTCCGTATCTCATTTCCTATGATAAACTCAGTGATTCATCTGTGTTTGTGCTTTTCACATCCTTGTCCAGAGGAGGTTTGCTGACGGTGGGAGGGAGGAAGAACCTTTCTGTTGATGTACAAACAAGTACTTCAAGCTTTAAGAGACAGACCCAGGTTATAGGAGGAGAAATGAAGTCTGGGTTCTGGCCCTGAGTTTGTGCCTGGACTGGGGTTGCCATTGAAACAGGCCAGTGTAGGAGGCCTCACCCATGATATCGTGGAAGAATAATGAATACATTTGTCCTAGATGGCAGATCTGAGTAAGCTCAGAGAGTTTGTTTCTTACTGAAACATTTGGAGAAGATCAACCTGCCTTGTCATCCTCATGGAACTATTGTTCAGGAGACAAAATTGTGCAAATTCAAGCTCTAGCAAGGTTTTATTTTTATTTTTTTTATTTTTAATTTTTTTAAAGATTTTATTTATTTATTTGACAGACCAAGGTCACAAGTAGGCAGAGAGGCAGCAGAGAGAGAGGAAGGGAAGCAGGCTCCCCAGTGAGCAGAGAGCCTGATGTGGGGCTCGATCCCAGGACCCTTTGACCATGACCTGAGCCAAAGGCAGTGAGCCACCCAGGCGCCCCTCGAACTCTAGCAAGGTTTTATAAAGTTGATGCTTATAGTGTTTACTGTAAAGAAGGTTGCCATGGAATTGACTCTGCCTCTCCTTAGTTTATCTGTTACTCTTTCCTAGGTCGGTGCCTTGGCAAGGCACAGCTTAGCCTTGTATGGTTCCATGATGGTTGAGCTAACCTGGGGGGTTGTTCTTTGACCTTCAAGAAGGTACTCTGGAATTTCCAGGTAGTCTCGAAGTGTCATTCTGCATGTTAGTCCAGTGGGTAGACAACTGAATAGATGGGGAAAACTGCTGAATTAGCCAGGTCAGTCTCGCAGAGCGCATGGATTTTCATGAAAAGGGAAGTCTTCCTCAATAACTTACCACTCCAGTGAATTACTACTGATTTAAGATGTTTGGATACTTAAGTAATTTATGTTACAGCAGTGAAGGAACCTGGGGTATTGTAGGAGCTAACCTTAAGCAACTGAGAAAGAGTATATGGAAAAATAACCATCTGTGGCCTCAGACCTTAGTTCCACCATCATGACGGACTTTATTCATAGAACACATTAGGCTGGGAGGTGCATAACTCATTCTGGAAATTTTTTTTTTTTTTTCCCTAAATTAAATGGTAAGTGTATTTCAATGATGTCAAGTTGATTTTTGTGGAACACCTGAATTCCAGGTGGAAAGGACAGTGAAGAAACACTTTAAACATGATCTGTTGGCCCCGCCATCTATCTGTATTATCTTTACACAGCAGAGGTGGCTGTCTATTGTGTCTACAGAATGAGGTTTGTCTTTGCCTGTAGGAGGTCCCAATCTGGCTGGGGCCTTTCCAATTCACACCTGGTGTCCTGGCATAATTATTAATGGCACTCCCCTTCACTCTCAAGTGTCCTGGTTTGGATGATATTTATCATAATATTCCTGAAACTCATATGCTCCCCTTGGGAATATGGCTTCCTTTGATGTCCAGAAGTTTATACTTATACATAATTTTCAAGGAATATGAAGGGTGAGGCCCACATGGTTTTGGTACAGGGTGGTCTGCTAATAGTTTTGTAGATTTTATGCAGAAGCTGAAAGATCCTGGAGACTGGGGGCTCTGGAAAGGGGCCCCTTTCCCTGATGCTGGTAGGCATCAGCACACTGGCTGAGTCTTGGCCCATCCCCCTTAGACCATTCCCTCCTGTAGAAGGAGAGTAACTGTTGTGATAAAATACCCTCAGAGTTTAAGAGCTCAAGTCGCGGTATCAGTTGGACTGTGGTTTGAGTCCACTCAGCCATTTCTGGGCCATGTCACTTGGTAGGGGAGTCGCTTTTTTGAGACTTCAGTTCCTTCATTTCTGAAAGGGTGGTCACTATAATGCCCATCCCATGGGGGTGTTTTGAGGATTAAATGAGATAAAGTATAATGGTCCAAGCTTAGTGTCTGACCCATGAAAGGGGTTAACAAATGTTCCCTGTGGCTTAATTAGTAATATGTGGATAAATTCTACTTTTGCTTGCAAAGAAAAAAAAAAAATCGGAGTCCTTTGACATTTTAAAAATGTTGTCAGTGCCTGGGACCGTCCATTCAAACTACTCATTTTTGACCCGCTTTAGATCCCGCACGGCTTTTCCTCGTTGACATTCGCTTGTATGGGAAAGAAGACAATGATACGCTGGTCCGCTGTCCTCTGACAGACCCAGATGTGACCAATTACTCCCTCACGGGGTGCGAGGGGAAGCCTCTTCCCAAGGACTTGACGTTCGTCGCCGATCCCAAGGCCGGCATCACGATCCGAAACGTGAAGCGCGAGTATCATCGGCTCTGCTTGCACTGCTCAGCGGACCAGAAGGGCAAGCCCGTGCTGTCAACGAAATTCACCCTGAAAGTGAGGGCAGGTAGGGACCCTTTCTGTCTTCCCGCGGGGAGGCGGACTTGCGTGGAGGGAGGGGCGGCGTCTCTCTCCTGGCGGTCCCGGGTCATCTGAGTGTGGGCAGGCAGGCAGCCGGCTCTTCCCGGTGGTTCCCCCACCTCCCAGCTGCCGTCAGCTGCTTGTGAATTCTTCCTTTCGTAGCCCCCAAGCCCACACCCCCGGTCCACGGCTGCCTTCAACGGGCCGCGTCTAGCCGAGACTGGCGCTCCGACCCTACAGGGGACACCTTCCGACCTCAGGACACCTGGAGACTCCTCACTGCCTGAGCTGTCCCTCCCAAGAGAACCTCACTGGGAGGCTTCCCTTCCCCTGTTTGAAAAGATTAGCATAGATATGATTCACTCCTTGATGGACTATTGCTAGAGGAATTGACTTTTCTCCACAGTGATTTGATTTTAATGCATTCCCAAACTTTTCCTAATCTGAGGAGGGAAGTACCAGCTGAGTATGGACCTTGTTATTATGGTGGCATTATGTAGATTATTTTCATTGCTGGAAAATGTCTAGATTTTGTATCTCCGAGATCATCAAATCCAATACCAGCTGACATTCGGCTACCAAGTACTTTTTATTAAGGCTTTTGAAAATGTGTGCTCCTTGGAATTAAGGAAAGATTGGTTATTTAAAATGGAGATTTTTCAGAAAAGAGCAAGAGGTTATTATTATGGCACATGGGAAAGATGCCTGTTTGTTTGTTGTTGTTGTTTTTAAGATTTTATTTATTTATTTGACAAAGAGAGAGAGAGGATAGAGGGACAGTCCAAGCAGGGAGCAACAGAGGGAGACTGATGTGGGACTTGATCCCAGGACCCCAGGATCATGACCTGAGCGGAAGGCAGTTGCTTAACCAACTGAACCACCCAGGCTCCTGAGAAAGATGGCTGTTTAGTTAAAAGAATATGATTGGTTGTAGGTCAAGTCCTCATGAAACCATCAAGGTTGTGTGAGGTAAAGATTAAAGCCGCTTCCCAATGCCACGGTTTCTCCCTGTTTCAAAACAGCCTTGTCCAATAGCATTATCATCTCAGAGCAGACAGTCCTATCATCTTCACTCAATGTTGATGAATTTGTTTGAAGAATGCAAGATGTAATTGCTAATGTCTTCAGATCTGTAAGTAATACAGATAGGTTAGTGCCATACTTGATATTTTATTTAAAAGATGACCACGCAAGTTGTGTGCCTTTGAGGGCACATGGTAAGTGAAAATGGCATATGACTGTAGAACACATGACTGGAGGGCCACATTCTGTTTCTTCCAGCCATCAGAGCTGTCCCGGTGGTGTCCGTGTCCAAAGCAAGCTCGCTTCTTAGGGAAGGGGAGGAATTCTCTGTGATGTGCTTGGTCAAGGATGTGTCCAGTTCCGTGGACTCCATGTGGATCAAGGAAAACAGCCAGGTGAGTGGCTTGTTGCCTTTGTTTTTCTGAATACATCATTCTCTCCATGTGGGAGATTATAAGATTTTCCCTTTATCGGGTCTATTCATTGTCCTGGCAAGGCTCAGCTGGTGTATCTATCTGAGGTGGGACTATCTGGGCGTGTGTCGAGATGCATCGTTTCCCCTTTCAGAACACCATATGTGGATGTGTACATTCATTATTTGTGACAAATGCATGTCATTTTGTCAATCTATTTTGAGAAACTCTAAGAGAGGACTTCAGACTCCTATTATTACTCTGTGCTGTCTCTTTGACTTTCGTAGAGAAATTAAAAAAAAAAACTTCTGGTTAACCGCATAACCTTTGATTTTTAAGACTATTAAATACATCTAGGCCAGATGATTTAAAATATTGGGGAAAGTTGTCAATTTTTTTTTCCTTTCCATATTTAAAATGAGAAAATGGTCTCAGATACTGACCAAGGAGCTCTTTCCTTTCCCACAAAGTGGCCTATCCATTTGAGAGATGTGTTTCTTTTTGTATTGATCTGACTTACCCCCATGAGGCTGGTTACCTGAGATCAAGTTGCTAATGGTTTTCATTTGTTTTAGTCACTATTAATAAAATGGTTATCTTTAATCTGAAACATTTGGACATGTTTAAGTTCTTATTCATTTAACACATGCATGATGAATGTCTACTATATGTTAGGTGCTGTGTTGGGTATATCTTAAATAAATTTTAGCCAGTTATATGATTTTTTTTTTCCTCTTTCTCTCTCTAAATACTCATTAGTAGCAAGGCCTTTCAGATGTCTAATCTCCCAAATATTTCACTTGAAAATTTCCATCAACTGAATATTCAATAACTTTTATTTGCATAATCTTGGCCATCTAGTTAATTAGCTGTCATGGTGTTTTTTCTTCAGGAGACATATATGCATTATATTGGAGAAAAGAAATAGTATATTTTCCTCTTCTCCTCTTCCTCTTCTTCCTCCTCATGCTCTGTATTCCACATTGGCAATTTCATGCCTGTTTAAATAATTTTTTGCTCCATAAGTAACCATGGTGAATAGCATAATACAAAGTACTATGATGGTATTCACATAGACTTGTGATGGATGATACCTTGCTAATGAAACCTGCCCAATGACTAGGAGAATAGATTGTACTAGAGACTTGTTCTTTCAAACCAGTGGCTCAGAGAAGCAAGTTTTAGTTTCTGTATCCTATAAGCTAATAAGAACAACAGCTTACATAGGGATTTTTGACTTAACTTATAGAACACAATCCTGTATTAATTGGCTTTCTATAATCCTTGATTTCAGATGAGAGAACAGTTTGGACCATGTGCGTATTTGAGCCTCTGTATAACTTGAAAATTAGTCTTTTTTCGATGAGAAATTAAATTGCCCCAGGCAGTTTTGTTCTGAACCATTTTTCCCAGGAGTCCCGCATGCCATTCCCAATTAATCCACTGGCGCTGGTAGATAAGCCTTCAGTGTTGGGAGCCCTTTGGGGAAATCCCAGTGTGCACCTCAAGGGTTAAGGAAAACCAAATCACATGCAAACAATATGTAATGTGTGACTTGCAGATGGGGCTCATGGCTCTATGCCAAGGTTCATCCATGACTCTTTTGTTGATATCCTTTGGCTTCATTTGGAATACTTAGCACTGTTAACACTATCAAAATTATCTTTAAAATCCATGGTATTTGATTCTGATTGTTTAGAATAAGTTTAATTCACAGTGAAATGGAGGATAAAATGACTGTTCTAGAGTTTTTACAGTCATTTGTTTTAAAATGTCAGAGTCTTGGAGTTTATTCAACATCCTTGAATCTTGGTTAGCTTTTCTAATGTGTCTACATCCTTGTACTTTTACTTTTTATTATGATATGTGATAGTATCCTGAATTTCGGTCTTCAGGTTTTGAAGGTGTTGATATTGTCTCACTTAGGACCAAGCTATTCTCCCAGCACTGATGTGTTCATTGTTCCTGCTTAGCTCCCTCTGGTAGACCCTTGGGCTCTTGCAAGAATTAGAAGTAAGATATACCATAAATCTAGAATGTGGTATGTTACCCATCCCTGTCAGTTGTCACTCTGTCTTGGCAGAGATGTCTGTGACCTGATGCACTGGGAGAGGACAGAATAGTGTCACCTCACCTTGCTGTTGATCTTCCTCATTGCTCTTCTCCGGTGAAATGGCAGATTCTGCCAATTATTAGAAGAATCTCTTGAAAGAGAGCATCTTCATGTCTGCATTGTGCTTCAGACCGGAAAGGACTTTGAAGACCTTTGCTTTCTCATTCCCTTTTATTTATTTACTTAAAGATTTTATTTATTTATAAGAGAGAGAGAGAGCAGGAGGGAGAGTCAGAGGGAGAAATAGACACCCCACTGAGCAGGGAGCCTGACATAGGGATTCGATCCCAGGACCCCCCCAGTTCATGACCTGAGACAAAGGCGGAGCTACCCAGGCGCCCCCCTCTCATTCCCTTTTAAAAACAAAAGCTGAGACTAGTAGTATCCTTGACTTGCTCAAGATCTCACAGTTACTTAACAAAGCAGGTTTCTCTTCTTTTTATTTCAAAACATTCAGTTTTGGCAGTCTGCTCTTATGTATGCTCATTTTAATGTAAAAAAAAAATTTCCAAAAATATAATAACATGAAAAAAAAAGAGAGAAACAGATATAATCCCACCATTGCATGTAGCAGTGCTGTGCAATGGAAATAAAATGTGAGCCTTCTATATAATTTAACATTTTCCAGTAGGCACATGACAGTAAAAGTAAAATTGATTGTAGTACATTTTTTAACCTAATATAGCTAAAATAGTATCTTATATAATTACTATAAAAAGTTATCAATGGGTTATTTTACATTTTTCGTATTAAGTCTTCAAAATCTGGTACATAGTGTATATTTAAAATGTAATTTGGACCTCAAGCATTCTAAGAGTTCAGTATCTTTATGTGGCTGGTCTTTATAAATGCTTTATTGTCTACCTTTTTTTTTTTTTTCATATTTCTTTTCTCTCTGCCCCGTGCATATGTATTACCATGTTTGAAGTGTTAAGGTACACTTAATTTTTGCTTTTTTTTTTTTTTTTTTTTTTTTGATTTTTTTTTTTTTTTTTTTCAGAGAGAGAGATCACAAGTAGTCAGAGAGGCAGGCAGAGAGAGAGAGGGAGAAGCAGGCTCCCCGCTGAGCAGAGAGCCCGATGTGGGGCTCGATCCCAGGACCCTAGGATCATGACCTGAGCCGAAGGCAGAGGTTTTAACCCACTGAGCCACCCAGGCGCCCCTAATTTATGCTTTTTAAGTAATATAAACATTTTCCTTATTTTCACATTTGTAATTTCGATATTTGGTATACCTTTAGGTCATTTCCAAGATTTTACTGCAATAAATATTTTGGAGCCTTTTTGTTTGTTTGTTTGTTTGTTTGAGTCATTTCCTTGAGATAAATTTGCTGGAATTGATAAAGGGGTATGAATAGACTGCCCAGTTACTTTCCATAAGGATTGTTCTGATTTATAGTAATGTCAGAATGGTCTAATGCTAAAAGTTCACCACTGCTTGGCCTGCGAATTACCCTTGATCTCATTCCATGTCAATATCTGGTCCTGTTTACTTTCTTTTCTCAGTTGTTTTTTGTTTTTTGTTTTTTTTTCAATAGGAATGTGGTTTTTTACAGAAAATTGGAAAGATGCAGAAAGCTGTATGGTGCTTCCTTTAGTATTTTCAGAGTGGCTATAGTTTTTATTATGTTTTATTCCCGTGATGTTTTCCATACCAAAATAAATCTCTCCATGTCTTGTCTGCGGACAAATAAAACGAGTAGAATGGTGATATCACAAGAGTAAATTTGCAATTTTTTCTCTTCTACTCATGCTTAAATAATTTGGGGCTTGGTCTAACATATCTCGCATACTTTGGAACCTCTTTTAATAGAAGCCAAAATTCTGCAGGGTGAGAACTGTAAGTGCATTTCCAAGTTACTCTTAGACATTGTGACTCGGGGCGCCTGGGTGGCTCAGTCAGTTAAGTGGCTGCCTTTGGCTCAGGTCATGATTCCAGGGTCCTAGGATCGAGCCCCACATCAGGCTCCCTGCTCAGCAGAGAGCCTGCTTCTCTCTCTCCCTCTGCCCTGCTGCCCTGCTGTGCTCTCTCTATCTCTCTGTCGAATAAATAAATAAATAATCTTTTAGACATTGTGACTCAGTTTCTCTTTGTGAAAATAATATAAATGTTAATGAAATAGAATATTATTATTAGCGAGGTGTTTTCTTTCAATCACTAGGATATAGGATAAAAAAAGAGGCCTAACAGCAGATACTGATAATGACCTCACTATGCTGACTCAATGTAAAATATCAGTATTCTGTAATATTTCTTCTAGAGTAACTTGTAAAATTTGGCCCTGTTAAAAAAAATAGTGCCGCAGAGAATTTGGAATTATGTATGCCACGGTTATTATGAAATGAATTTTCATGGTTTTTTTTTTTCAATCATTAATAATGACTATCTTTCAATATAATCCTGTAACATGAAGTGTTCCAATGACAGACTTGTCGTGATGCTTTATTATTCTTACTTAAGGAGCGTATAATGAATGTTAATATGGAGAAGTTAATTGCTGCTGTTTTTAATTTATCTAGGAAAGATCCTGAATCTAAATTTTATGGTAATCTTTGATTTTTATTTTCTTCTCCTTCTGAAACCAGCAGACTAATGCACAGACGCAGAGTAATAGTTGGCATCAGGGTGACTTCAATTTCGTACGTCAGGAAAAGCTGACTATCCGCTCAGCTAGAGTCAATGATTCTGGAGTGTTCATGTGTTATGCCAATAATACTTTCGGATCAGCGAATGTCACAACCACCTTGGAAGTTGTCGGTAAGTCTCTCTATGGGAATGTATAAATTACTAGCAGTAGTGGAAGAAGAAATTGCTAGACAGTTGCCTTTTTTGTTAATGGAATGTTGAGAGATGACTAGAAATTTAATTGTCACCACATGAATGAATGAATGAATGAAAGTGATCATTGTCGCCTTTTCCAACTAGAGCACAGAAGCAAATTCTACCAGTTTTAATAAAGGGGAAGTGGAAAGCTGTAACTGAAGTTGTTTAAATGGGTCATTTTTCTGCCATCCACCTCCTTAGCAAACAAATAAAATGTTAAGTGGAACTTTTTCAAAAATTCTAGGCCTTGCTGAATGACTTGAGCTTGGAAATGGATTGTAGACTTTCTGTATGGAGGAGTGCAGATGTTGGGAGCTGAAAATATTTCTCTGAATCTTTTAGGGAGGCAGCTGGGCCTTTGGTTTCTCTTTTTATCATTTATGGGACTAGTTTGTTTGATGCAGGAAGGGCTGGGTTGGGCTTCTTCTTCCTACTACACCCCTTACTTTACTCCGTCCACCAACCTTATAGGCCATAGCATAAGCCTTCAGGAAAGAGATCCAGTAGGAGCTGACACACTGGTTCTAGACAGTATCAGCTAGATCTTGGTTCCCTAGAGTCCTAACCCCATCATAGCTGATGTGCACAATGGGTTTAGCCTTTTCTTCCCTAGTCTGGAAATCCCACTAAATATTTATTTTCCAAGGTCTACTTAATGAGCGCAGAACATAGTGAATGTCCTGGATGTTTTTGATTTACTGGAAATAATAATAATTTCTAAATTATGCATTTTTGTCTTTTGAGTATCGTTTGAATTTAATCTATTTTCTTGCTTTTTTAATGCAATTATAGTCTTAGTGCTTAACTTTTAAGTACTTGTAGGGTGGCAAATTTCTTCATCACGAGGGATAATAAAATGATGTGCTATTTGTTTTCGTCTCTCCTCTTTTCCCCATGTTTCTTCAATAATTCATGAAGCAGTGTTAGAGGTCTGTGATTTATCCCACAATAATCTCATATAATTTTGGCATTTCTGCCCATGTTGTAATGGAAATCATCTCACCAGACTAAACGTGGAGAACACCCTTTACTTGCAGTTAGAGTCCGCGTGCAGAGAGTCTTACTTTTTCCCTAAACGTGATTGGGAACCATTTATTAATTTGAATAGAAAGCGATGCTTTTAAAATATTAAACTCCATAAGTGCTAATTTGCTAAGTTGATTAGGGAGCATGTTGATCTATCAGCTTCAGCTCCAGAAAGCAATTAGTAAGGATGTTTTGAGCGTATTATTGTGTGTAATCAGATTTTTAAAACCCATTCATCAATTTCCAAGAATATAGCTGTGTAACTGGAAGGACTTGTGGCTGGGAAACCTGAATCTGGTTTTGTATTGTTTTGGGATGGGTTGGGATGGGACAAGAACAGGAGGAGACAAGAGAGAAAAGTGATTTCTTTTGGGAGCTGGGGGTGGGAGGCTTGGGGTTGGTCCTTACCTGGTTTTGAGTAGGCGCTGTGTGCCATCTAACTTTCGAAGGTACCCTACTTTACCTCTGCCTGCATTTCCTCTTCCGAGAAACACAGCCTCTAACTCCAGAGGCTGCAAAGAAGAGAAAAGGCAATAGATTTGGTTTATAGAAGTGCCTGGCATCGTGTTTGTACTTGATTCAATGTTAATGCATCACCAATTCCTTAATGCAGAAGCACCTGAAAAAGATCTTACTGTAGGTTAAAATCCTGATGGATTTCTTTGATCCTAGTAATTCCTATACTTCATGCATTTGAAGCTCTATTCCACTATAGGACATAAAAGTATATTGAGCCAAAGGACTCTAGAAAACTCAGGAGGAACTTAAGTATTTTACATATGGTGATGATACGAGAATACTTTTCAGTGTAAATAATGTTGTCTGTAATATTGAAATATTTTGCATTGTGCGGAATTTTGGGATTTAGGACCTTAAGAACATGAAAATGTAATGTAGCACTCAGATGAAACATTTATTCCCTCCAAATTAACCTAAATTTGCTTTAAAAATAGCAAGGGGAGTTTCATTTATGAAGCAGGTATTAGAACAGGGTGGTGGTTTCCATCTTCAGCATTCGCCTGGGTGATTTCTTATTCCCACCTGTCTCAGATCCTTTTCCATCGGTGCAGTTGGACACCTTTTATTCTGAATCTATAGGAAACTAACTGGCATTAAATACTAGAATGGCAACTCATGTGAGACCTTAATATAGTCAACCCAATAGTGCCAAAAATAATGACTAACAATTTTAAATTTTGAAAAACAAATGGAAGGACAAAATGAAAACCCTTCCGTAATCCCACCAATGTGATTTAACTGTTTATAAGATTTGGTATATTGCTTATATTTTTGAATACAGCAGGGTTTCAATTATACATAAGATTTTTAAAATATTTTATTTATTTATTTGAGAGAGAGAAGGAGCATGAGTGGGGAGAGGGGCAGAAGGAGAGGGAGAAGTGGGTTCCCCGCTCAACAAGGAGCCAGAAGCAGGACTCTATCCTGGGATCCTGGAATCGTGACCTGGGCTGAAGGCAGATGCTTAACTCACTGAGCCACCCAGGCGCCCCTATACATATGATTTTATTCTTTCTCTCTAACAAAGTATATAGAGAATCTAGGGTATATGCTGCTGTAAAAAGAGGCCGGCCTTGGCTTCTCACAAACCTGTGTTCAGATCTGGGCTCTGCCTTTGGTTAGCTGGCTCTTTAGCTTTCCAGGACTGGATATTTTTCATCCATAAATTAGGAGTTATGTGCTTTCTCTCTTAGTATTGTTATAAAATTAAATATTTGTCATAATTATTCATCTAAATGTATACTAAGGTACTTAGGGCAGTTCTTGGCCCCTAGTAAACATTCTGTAAATGGTGGCTATAAAAATTATATTGGAAATTATTTTAGTACAGTTTTTTTCAAGCTCTTTCTTATATTATTATATTATAGCCATTTCGGAGGGCTGCTGTATTAACCAGTTCTCCGATGTAAAAAATTACTACGTCCAGGGTAGATGGCCATTCCTTCTGTATGCAGTTAAACACTGAGAAGTGTTCTCAGATGGGAGTTACAGGGTTAAATGGGAGAATAGATAATTATAGAAAAATCTATATTGCTACATGCTTTCTGAAAGAGTTGTGCCAATTTACAGTGTGTAGTTCAGCGTGCTACTTTTACCACACTTGCAAAATTATTGAGTTTCTTTCAAATTAGTTTTGCTGTTTTTCCATAGGATGGATATACTTTATTTTTTAGCTTTATTGAAGTTTTGCTATTTTTAATAAGTGAAAAGTGAAGCCTTATTTTAATTACTAGTTTCAATATTTTTCCATCTATATTTTCATGTTCTCTTTCCTACTGTCTTAATTTTACTGTGGAGACATTTAAAAATGCTTATGTATTCAGAGTCTTAGGATTTTTATGATTTTATGATTATTTTTTCTTCTGTAGTTCCTAAAAAGCCTAGAAAACTGCTCCCCCCTCTATAGAAGAAGTTTGATAGGAGTGAATTCTGTTGTTCAGTTAAAAATACGGTATGGTTATTAAAATGCTGTCCTTGATTTCATCTGTGACTTACAATGTGATGAGAAGGTGTAAGTTTATTTTTCTTTAAATAGTAAATGGTGTTCTTTCAACATCTTCATTGACCATTAGGGCTGTCTTCCTCTTCTTGGTTTATGACACTTTCCTATCACATATACATTTATATTGGGTCTGGGTAGGGGCTAACTAGTTAGTCCAAATGCTTTTTAACCTAGGAAAAATCAGGACGAGTCATTCTAGATATATGATAAAGAGCTAGATCTTTAAGAGAGTTGTTTGAGAGACAGAGATGGGAGAATAAACATTTCATGTGTGTCTGTCCTCGCTTAATGGCTGTGATTCTACAAGAGCAAAAAGAAAAATAAAAGGTACAATGGCCAGTTAAAATCGTCTTGTAATTGCCAATTAATAACCTGAAACCAGTCAGTTATCTTTGTGATCCAGAGATGAAGTTGTGTTTTCTGTTGCATAGTTGTGGGTAATAGTTTCTTCCTGTTTTGTTCTGTTCTAATTAGATAAAGGATTCATTAATATCTTCCCCATGATGAATACTACAATATTTGTCAATGATGGCGAGAATGTGGACCTGACTGTTGAATATGAGGCATATCCCAGACCTGAACACCAGCAGTGGATTTATATGAACAGAACCTTCACTGATAAATGGGAAGATTATCCTAAGTCTGACAATGAAAGTAATATCAGGTAAGAAAAGAGCCTTGCCTTGGGGATTAGACATCTCCCCCCGCTTCTCTTGGCTTGCCAGATGCTATTTCTGTGACCCATAAATGGGAAAGGACACCTGATAAAAGAAGTTTGGGGCTCCTTCCTGAGCCCTTAGACCAGTATTGCCTTTGGCTATGTGTTTAAAGCACACAAAAAAGTCTGGGCAACAGTATTTGCATCTCTGGTATGGAGGATAGTTCAAAGCAGGGACTGGCATATACTAGGGACCCATTAAGTAATTTTTTAGAGAAAGAGGAAAGTCTATGCTTTGAATCCTTTTTTAAAAGCTGTAGAAAAATAGGCACCTGGGTGGCTCAGTCTAGGTTAAGCCTCCGACTCTTGATTTTGGCTCAGGTAATGATCTCAGGGTCATGGGATCCAGCCCGATGTTGGGCTGTCGGCTCTATATAGAGTCTGCTTCTCTCCTCTCTCTCCCTCTGTTCCCCCGGCCCAAAGCTCACATGAGCATATTCTCTCTCACTCTCTCAAAAAACAAAAACAAAAACAAAAACTTTTTTTTTTTTTTTTTTTTTTTTAGATTTTATTTATTTATTTAACAGATAGAGATCACAAGTAGGCAGAGAGGCAGGCAGAGCGGCAGGCAGAGAGAGAGGAGGAAGCAGGCTCCCCGCTGAGCAGAGAGCCCGACCCGGGGCTCGATCCCAGAACCCTGAGATCATGACCTGAGCTGAAGGCAGAGGCTTAACCCACTGAGCCACCCAGGTGCCCCGTCAAAAAAAAAAATCTTAAAAAAAAAACAACAAAAAAAAAAAACCAACAAGAAAACCCAAAAAACCAACAAACAAACCCTAAACTAAAAGAAAACTAAGCCTCATTCAGTAGTTTTGGGCCAGGCAGGCAGTGAAGCCAAGTTCTGTCACATCACATTTCTCCCCCCCTTTTTTTTAATATTTACTTATTTATGTATTTATTTAAAATATTTATTTATTTGAGACAGAGATAGAGCACAGGCAGGCGGGAAGGAGGGAGAGAAGCAGACTCCCCTCTGAGCAGGGAGCCCAATTTGGGGCTCCATTCCAGTACCCTGGGATCATGGCTTGAGCTGAAGGCAGCCACTTAACTGACTGAGCCACCCAGGTGCCCCTATTTATTTATTTTAGAGAGAGAGAGAGATTGAGAGCACAGGGAGGGGCCGAGAGACACTTTGGCAGATTCCCTACCGAGGTTGGAGCAAATACGGGGCTCGATCTCACAACCCCGAGATGATGACCACTTACAACTTTGAAATCACCACCTGATCTAAAGCCAAGAGTCAGACACTTAACTGCCTGTGCCACCCAGGGGCCCCCACACCTTTCATTTGATCCTCAAGACATTATAATGAAAACGGTAGCAATCGTAAAATAGTAGAAAGTGAGATAAAAATAAATAAATTAAAATAATAAGAAAATAAAAAAGTAAAATCGTTCAAGTCGCTTACTCTACGTAGGCTGCAGGTGCTCTTGTGGTGCTGTGCTGTTCTAAGAACCTTCCATATATTAAGTCAATAATTCTAGTCTTCACAAACCCCATGGACAGGTGCTCTTTGATTTCTGTCATTTCTGGAGAAGAGGAAAGTGAGGCATAGTGAGTTAAGTAACTTGACCAGGATCAGATGTCTAGATCTAGATGCCTAGATAGACTTGGTATTTTTTTCCAATCAGGAGGTATGGGCTGTTATAGGGCTGTGGGTGAGAGGTGATGCTGTCCCGGACCAAGGTTCAAGGGCTAGAGGGAGGAGGATGGATTTGGGAGGTGTCCGGCTACCTCTTTAGTAAGACTCAGTGATTACGGGGCTGGGAGAGAGAGGTAGGAGCTGAAGATGCCCTTCGGGTTCACTGTCCATCAGCCATGTTGGATGGTGAGGGGGGATGCCATTCAAGGAGGAGGAAGGGTTGTGGGGGCAAAGACAGTGAGTTTGGCTTAGGGTTTGTAAAATTGGAGGTTTGTTAAATTGGAGGTTGTCTGGAGTGGAGACATTCGGGTAGGAGACATTCAGGTAGGAAGTATCCCAGGTCAGGTTCCCTAGAAGCAGAGCAAAGGGATTCCAGGTCAAGGGCTTTATTAAGGGAAAGAGAGACCTGCCAGGCAGTAGGAGAGCAGGGCAGGGAGGGTAAAGTAAAGAAGGAAAGAAAGGATGGATGGGTGAGTGGCAGGCTGAGCGCAGGGGCCCTCTGGAGCAGGTCCCTTCCCACGGGCAGTCACTCATCAGCTGTCGACCAGGATGGGTAGTCAACTTCAAAATGGCGTCAGGTGTCCCAGGGCAAGACTTGGGAGGAAGACACTGCAGATGTGAGTCATTATTAGCTGTACCCACGAGACAGGGGGCTGGGGGCATGAAAATAGCTTTGCAGAGGAGGCATAGGACCAAGAAGTCTGAACTAGAGGTAGAGATTGGAAAGTCGTGAGCAAACAGCAAGTAGTTCAGCAGGAGAGTAGCTTGCTCGGCGTGGGGCAGTGTGAGAGGAGAGGCCGACTAGGCCGCTGTGTATGTCAGGATGGCTGTGTGGCTCCAGTGGGTTAAGGGCTGTGTGGGGCGCTCCATCCCCACCCGTGCCCATGTCTGTAACTCCCCTGGCACGCCTACGTGCTCAGTCTACGTGACTGTAGCTGGTGTCCTTGCAGTGAAAGGGAAGCTCGAAGAGCAAATCCTGCAAAAGACACTGGGAAGAAGTAGTGGGGTGAAGGGGAACCTGGAGCTTATGGTCCTTGTGAGAAGGAAGCTGAGGACCCCAGTGTTTAACTGGCTGCGAGGGTCCCACATCTCCACGTGGATACCTGCCAGCCTGGCCAGGTGCTCGGTGGTAAAGCACAGCAGGACGGGTGAGTACGGGACGCTGGTGAAGGACTGTGGGCAGAGAGGGACGTGGGCATGAGGACAGCCAGGGAGGGGGAAAGAGGCTGAAGTCTCCAAGAGGTTGCCTTTGGGCTGAGGAAGCCTCTCCCCACGCAGCCATTTGTCCCAAATTAGATACACGCGTCTGTGTCTGGATTTATTAATGTGGGTCTTGTTAATGCTGAGTGAAGTGAGTCCTATTCGTCCTCGAACAGGCATGTATTTCCAGAGAGAAACTGGAAAAGACCCACACTCAAGGCACACCGTTCCTGGGGGATTGAGTTCTTCTCTTTTCTCTCTTTCTCTTTCCGTAGATACGTGAGTGAACTGCATCTCACCAGATTAAAAGGGAACGAAGGAGGCACTTACACATTTCAAGTGTCCAATTCCGATGTCAACTCTTCCGTGACTTTCAATGTTTATGTGAACAGTGAGTAAAGCGAATGGTTCCTTATCTTTTTATTTTTTATTATTTTAAGTCGTGGCTGGTGTTTGTAACAGCTGCAGAACCGAGCTCATTGTGTACTATGAAAATAACGAACGTCTCATGATAATTTTGACCTTAACAAAGACCCCGTGGTTTGGTGGTTGGAAGAATGTGTGTGAGGACCAGTTCCTTGGCCTACATTTCACTGACCACACGACCTTGTGGAGGTCACTCGGATTCTGGGTGCTGCCTTTGAAGTAAACAGAGGAGCCATAGAAGTTAAAAATAACAGGCGTTTGCGGGAAAATGTATTGTTATTGATTGTTGAAACGGGGTGCCAGAGGTTGAATAGGAACTGGTGGTGTTCGTTGGGAGAGATGCTATCAGGCTCTGACATGATTTCTTTGTCACAGTGCTTTCTCTTTCGGGGTTGTGATATTATTTGTGTTTAGATTGTTCTCCCACTAGGATGAATGCAGTATCGATCAGGCTCGACAGGACCCTTCTGCAGAGCACGTGGGTACTGTGGGAGAGGGAGCAGGTGGTTTAGGGGGGAGCAGAGCTTGGGGCACGGAAACCCAAACGCCTAGGTTCTGCCCTGCTGCGCAACATCCTAGAGAAATGTCTTTGCACAGAGATTGAGGCTGAGGGCGCATGCTCACCTGCAGGGACTCCTGCCCCGTGCAAAGCTGCTTCCTGGTTCTACTCTGGGGCCTATCTGCACCTCCAGGGAAGGGAGCAGTGTCTGCCACACTGCCCAGGGGACAGGAGACCTCCAAAGAGGCAGAATTCCAGAGGAGTGGTCAACAAGATGACCATGGGAATTAGCCATCCTGGGTGTGTGTTGGGTGGCTGGGGGTGAGGAGACAGCCTGGAACATTCCCTAGGGAGCAACTTAGAAACTCTGCTGAGCCCTTTGTGTGTGTTGGGCTGCAGGAGGGCTGTGGGAACAAAGGATGGGTGCCAATTTCTTGTCCTCAAGGAGCTTACTGTGAAGTCCTTGTGAAAGTTATTTTTTTTTTTAAGATTTTATTTATTTATTTGACAGAGATCACAAGTAGGCAGAGAGGCAGGCAGAGAGAGAGAGGAGGAAGCAGGCTCCCCGCTGAGCAGAGAGCCGGATATGGGGCTTGATCCCAGGACCCCGGGATCATGACCCAAGCCGAAAGCAGAGGCTTTAACCCACTGAGCCACCCAGGTGCCCCTGAAAGTTACTTTCTTGATGCTGCAGCTCAGTGGTATGTGGTGGGGGAGAGAGATCCAACTACAAATGAAGACAGGGAAGTGATACTCAGGGCAGGTGTTTGATTGCTAATCTGGAGTCTTTTTTTTTTTTTTTTTAAAGATTTTATTTATTTATTAGACAGACAGAGATCACAAGTAGGCAGAGAGGCAGGCAGAGAGAGAGGAGGAAGCAGGCTCCCTGCTGAGCAGAAAGCCCGATGCGGGGCTCAATCCCAGGACCCTGAGATCATGACCTGAGCCGAAGGCAGAGGCTTTAACCCACTGAGCCACCCAGGCGCCCCTAATCTGGAGTCTTTTAACGGCACCCTCATTTCCAAGAACAAGGTGTTCTTAGGTGTTAGATAAAGAGGGTCACCTATGGGGCTACACAAGTTTCTTCACTCTAGGCTTTGTCAGGATCCCTAATGCGCTGGTGTATTATGCCTTCCCAGAGGGGGGTTTGGGATGGGGTGCACAGCTCAAATGGCTCTGACCACCGAACTTCCCTTTTTTGAGGAAATCGTGTTAATTAACATCTCAGTTCCTCAGAACAGTGTTGATGATATGGCATCTCATTGGCCTGAATTTCTTATATCTCTAGATTAATTCAGATGTTAATCAGAGGCGCTTAGCATATTACACGTGGGCCAAATTACCTGCTTCTGAAAAATCTCAATATTCAAGTAATTTAAGAGGCGATTACAGGTAAATCAGTATCCTTACAAGCATCATAAGCTTACTCGCCACACAAAACTGGATTTTTGGGTGCTCTAGTGTAGCGCTTATCCAACTGTGGTAAAGGGCCTTTTTAAAAAAATTTCTGATTTATTCTGGATCAGTACTTGCTACAAAATACAGTAAGAACCAATCCCTAGGAAGGTGAAGTGAGTAAAAACAGATATACGCAACATCCAAATTTAAATTTTTTTTTTTTTTTTATTACTATGAGATTCAGTAGCTAGAAAAATTACTCTGTCCAATTTCTCCTTGTAAATGCTTATTGCTGGTTGGTTGTACTCACCCCTCTTTGGACCAGTAACATCAGATCATGGCCACGGCCGGCTCCACAGACCTCACTTGGAGAAGCTCAGCAGTTGGAAATTTTATAAAATTAAGTGCCATTTGCATCTCTCTTTCCCTGGCTTCAAGGTCAAGGAAGCATGAAGCTCTTGTCTCTTTTCTTCCTCCTCCTGCTTCCGTTTGCTAGTGGGATCTGCCGGTTGGCTACGAGTCCCTGAACTTTGAAAGATGTCTCTGAAGTCACCGTTCTTTTTCTCTGGTGACAAAATTGCAGCCGTTTTCCTTACCAGGCCGGTTTGCTATCCAGCAGGAGCAGCGTTGGTCACCTCTTTTTTTTTTTCTTTTAAGATTTTATTTATTTATTTGACAGACAGAGATCACAAGTAGGCAGAGAGGCAGACAGAGAGAGAGGGGGAAGCAGGCTCCCTGCTGAGCAGCGAGCCTGACGTGGGGCTCGATCCCAGGACCCTGAGATCATGACCTGAGCAGAAGGCAGAGGCTTTAACCCACTGAGCCACCCAGGAGCCCCTTGGTCACCTCTTCTGAACTCATGCCTGTTTGAAACGAGATGGGAACCAGCATTAAGCTTCTCAAATGATTTTTTTTACCCCCTGGATTCCCTGTTGGGGCAGAAGGCCTTTTGGTTATGCCAGGGCCTGGGTCTCAGACCCAGCATTCGCCGAGCTCCTATGGGTCGCGCGGGGCACACAGATAAGAGTGGTGAAGAGTCTCCCCACTTACGGTAAGTTTTTCAGGAAGTCTTTCATTGCTCTCAGTTTGTTACGAACACTAACTGACAAAAGGCACTTCTTCACTTACCTAACCCATCGGATTTCTCGAGCTCCAAAGGCCTTAACAGGGGTGGTATTTTTGTGTGAAACTTAAAAACATCTACCTCTTGTGAAGTGTGTCCAGTCGGTCTTTACAGATAAAGGTAGCTAATTACTTTGTTGATTTTTTTTAATTGAAAAAGATTTTGTAATGGTAAAGTCCAAAGTATTCAAAAACAGTTTTGAAACTTAAAATTGGAGCAGTTGTGTCCATTTTGACATAATGTTTTAGCTGAGCCAAATGCCTCGGAAGATCTGCTGTGTGATTAATTCTGTAAATAAGCTTAGCCCCAAGGATGAAAGGAATTCGGCTGTGCAAAAATTAGAACTGATAAAAATCAGAATAATAAATGCATAATATTAGTGCAGAAATTCAGTGACTTTTATTCAGTGACATTGATGCATAATTGCTTAATAGATTCAGTGCTGAGAAATGCTTATGAAAATCTGTGATTTTGAATGGTTGAATGTTTGATGGTTGAAAAAGTCATTTGTTTTAAAAACTCCACATGTAAATTTGAGTACACTGGGTGTGTGCGTGTGTGTGTGTGTGTGTGTTTTAATTGCTTATGTGGGAGGCCATAAAAAATACTATATTCTGTGTTAGAGAAAAATATGTAGCATATTAAACTTGAAAATGTTTTAAGTCTGTTTTTACCTTCTCTAACCAAGCTATGATTTCCCTGGGTCTGTTCACTTGGCTCTGTGCCATTAAAGGTGATTTATAAAGGCCAGGAGCTGTATAACATGTTGCTGTTTTTCAGCAGAACTTCCAGTGCAAAGTTATGGGAGGTTTTTTTATTTTGCTTAGAGAGAATCAGAGAGAGTGTGGGGTGGGAGTGGAGAGGGGCAGAGGGAGAGGAAAAGAATCTAAAGCAGACTCCACATCCTGCGTGGAGCACGACATGGGGCTTGATCTCACACCTCCGAGATCATGACCTGAGCCGAAATCAAGAGTCGGATGCTTCACTGACTGAGCCACCTAGGCACTCCCCCCCCCCCCCCGCCTTTTTTGGAAGGGAACATGGGGGGTGGAGTTTTCATTAAAAAACAAACAACAAAAGCCAGTGATTCTTTGCATTGAATTTGCATTACTACAATCACTCTTGCCAGGCTTGTGGAAGATGTATACAGAAATCAGATTCTTAGTTCTAAAAAGAAGTTGGAGATCCTTGGTGGAAATGGCCATTTTCTTGCTTTGCAGAGCAAAATTGGGAGGAAAGTAGAATTCTGAAATGTATACAACCACCCAAAAAGTGCCTTTTTTTCTCCTCTTAAATATATTTAGCTACGATGACATAATATAAGCAAAGTGCTTTCCTAATAGGGCCTAGTCTTTCCAAAATTCTGGAGGTACTAGAAAAAGCAGCACCACCAAGATTCTGTAGGTAGCCTGAGATACTCAGTTAGAAACCCATGGACTCCTTGCTTAACAAAAACTGTCACACAGTAAGGTTTTTACCAGATCCAGGACAAATAAAGGGCCAAATGTACATTTTACTCTAAATGATACATATGCTCTTTTCCCCTCTCCACCCAATATTTCTGGAATACATTTCAAATGTTTCAGTGGACTTAAATGTTAATTAGTAATGTACATATTTTACAAGTTTATTTTGGCATATAATTTCAGAGAATCCCATGTGATTCCTGAAGAAATGTCCATAATTGTGGAAAGTATAATTAATATGATAAAGCAGTTGTTTTTCAAACACGTGGAACAATTTTAAGAAGATCCAATAGACTTTTTTTTCAGCTCTTTTTGGGGATACTTGACAAAACTGAAAGATATTTGAAGTGTATACATGACGACTTTGATACATGTAAACATTTTGAAAGGATTCCCCTGCCCCGCCCCATCAAGTTAATTTAACACATTTGTCACCTTACATGTTTACCCTTTTTGGTTTTGGTTTTCTGGGTTCTTTG